GATTTTTAATTTCTACTATCCATCTATAGGCGTAGAAGTTGAGCAAAAATTCAATGAAAAAACAATCTCCTTTATTAAGTTTGGTTTTTTTAATCGAAATAATGAAATTACTTTGAAGAGAGAAAGAAACGAATTAACTCAGGGATTCAAAATAGAAATCAATTTCTAATATGAATGTAAATGGATTTGTTTCATGGTTAACTATTCAATGAAAAGAAAGAAATTAAAAATTGACTAAACTTTTTCCTCTTTTTTTTGACAAAACATAAAAATCGGATCGATGAAATTCGATAAAGGGAGAATATTAATATAAGCCTAAAATTTCGGCATTATGGTACAATTTAATTCCATATTAGATTTGCTTATTTGCTAGATATACAGCATACAGTGAGCGATCGTACTGGGTGGAATTTCAAGGATTAATTATCATTCTTCATAATCGTATCTGGATGTAATCGCACCACTTTCGATAACCGACTTTTATAGTTCAGTCACCCATCGTCTTATATTCTATGCTTTTATACCCAACCGATAGCTGCCACCTTGACGTAGTGGTCGGGCTTGCATATCACAATCATCCAACCAGTTATGCTGGTGGAACACTTGTTCCCTCAAGGTCCTACTATACCAGAAACGTCTGTTGGATAGTGATTAGACGAAAAGCAGTTACAGTTGTAGTGTAAATTACTAGACTATGATGGGGGTCTGAGGGCGAAGTCGTATTGCTGATAGATGGATGGAGTGTAACAAAAGTAAGGTGTTTCCCTTGGATGACCACCAGTGCCATGCTGATGCTGCCTTCTCGCTGGAAGGAGAGAGGTTAGAAAAGGTGGAGACCAAAAATAACACACTCCACCATACCCCACGGTCTACCGGGTCGGCGGTGTTGGTTCATTTGTCGTTTCCTTCCGAACATCCAGCCCCAAAAATACAAAAGTTAAAAATAATCTTTGTCAAAAGGCTGTGTGTGACAGGCCTCAAGCAGATGTCCGATGGACTCAGTGGTCACACAAATCTCTTTCAGGTATCTTAAGAAGAAATAGCCTTCCACGGTGTGGGCAGCTGGGAACTGTCAACCTCCCTCACAACTCTATCAGCACTCACGTTTCTTTGTTTTATTGGTAGTAAAATTTTCCACATCTCTCATATGGAGGTGTAGCATCTTGAAATGATGGAGAATATTTGTAGCTCAGGTGGATGGTCTTGGTTGTATTGTGTTCTCTGAACTGGGTTGTTTAATCGTGAAGCTTTACTATTTATGTATTATGAATCTAAAGCAACTGGTCCCTTTGATAAATTTAAACAGTGTAATGAGAAGATGAAGATTATCTGAAACATGTCGTGATGTATTAGCGCTATACATTTCGAACAATCTGATCCCCCCCCCACACACACACACACATGGACTTGTCGAATTATTTATATGAATATTCACGAAAAAGGTCAATGAAGTTAATAGGAAGCATAGAGGAATAAGAAGGGAGGGAAAAAGAAGAAAAGAACGTTAATATTGGTATAAAAATTAAAATCAATACACCACCAAGGTAGGCTCAATGTGAGTACAAATTGTTTTTGTATACATAAAGGATAAACCACATCTGCACCGATGGCACCAAGGAGGAAGAAACCAACCTACTGATGACAATATTGACACAGAATGGATACCCGTTGAGATTTATCGACCGGTGCAAAAAGTTATGTAGCATTGAAAAAAGTATACAGTGTTCCGTTGCTAAGACAAATGTCTACATTTCATTACCATTTAGAGGTGATTCATACAGCTTTGTTGTGAGGAGAACATTTAGACCGGCCATCTGTAAAACGTATTATACAGCCAAGGTCATCATTGTAGAGAAGACAAAGTCCATGTTACAGCATAAACAGAATCGACATATAAACGATTACATCACATCCTACTGTGTTTATCAATTTACATGTATGTGTGGACACACATATATAGGGAGGAGTAATCGTGATATGCAGTTGTTAAGGCAGGTTGAACATGTACCTAAGTGACTATAAAAACAAGTGACCTCAACTGATCTGATAAGTGCAGGTGACAAACATCCATCTTCGTCTATCACTTAACATATACTAGAAACTAACCACAGGATAGACATGAGAACAGCCTTTAAAATACTACATAAGAGTGGTCAGAGTTGAGTGCTGAAATTTATTAGAGCTCTTGTCATCCGTGAATTCAAACCCCATACTTTATGTATACAAAAACAATTTATACTCACATTGAGCCTACCTTGGTGGTGTATTGATTTTAATTTTCATACCAATATTAACGTTTTTTTTCTTCTTTTTCTCTCCCTTCTTATTCCTCTATGCTTCCTGATAACTTCATTGACCTTTTTCGTGAATATTCATATAAATAATTCGACAAGTCCATGTGTGTGTGAATATAGAGAACACAGAGGTGATGAAGATACCGCACGAACAACTCCAACAACAAACTCCAGTCACCATCAACGGGAGAAACTTAAAGGAAGGAACCTCCTTCACTTATCTAGGAAGCACTGTTTCAACTACAGGCGGCACAGGCACAGACGAGGATGTCAAAGTCAGAATTGGAAAAGCAAGACAGGCGTTCATTAGCCTCAAACCAGTGTGGAGATCTTCTGCACTCAGCATGTAGAACAAGATGCGGATTTTCAACACCAACGTCAAGTCAGTGCTTCTGTATGGCTCAGAGACTTGGCGCGTCACGAAAGGCATTTCCAATAAACTACAGATATTCATCAACAACTGCTTACGCTAGCTCGCTACTGAAGATCAGATGGATTGCCAGAAAGGATAAGCAACAAGGAGCTCTGGGAACGAACCAACCGAGAACCTACCACTGAACAAATATGCAGAAGGAAGTGGAGATGGATTGGGCATGCACTGAGAAGGCCGACTGGGGACATCATGCGTCAGGCCAGTCCCTCGAGTGGAATCCCCATGGGAAGCGACGAGTTAGGCATCCGAGGGTGACATGGAGGAGATCGTGCGAGGAGGAAATGAGAGCTTATGGGCTGTCGTGGAACCAGGTTCAAAAGATCTCAGAGAACAGAGGTCACTGGAGACGTTCTATAAGAACCCAAGGGACTAATAATAATATAATAATAATGTGTGTGTGTGTGGCGGGGGGAGGAGGGATCAGATTGTTCGAAATGTGTAGCGCTAATACATCACGACATGTTTCAGATAATCTCCATCTTCTCATTACGCTGTTTAAATTTATCAAAGGGACTAGTTGCTTTAGATTCATAATACATAAATAGTAACATGCTGTTTACTCATCAATTAGTTTGCTTTCAAAAAAACAAAAGTTGATTAGTTAGTTCATTTCTAATGTTTCCTTCATCACACAGAAGACGAGCTAAATACGTATGGTATTGTAGAGTTTTTATATTTTGTAGTACGAGCATAGACTCTTATGTACTTGCTCCTTATCTTTCCACATGACCGACGAGCAGAGCTTTGAGTGTGGTGACATACTAACTGTTCTTTTTCAGATACCTCAAGAAGATTTAACCTTCCATGGTGTAGGCAACCGGAAAGTGTCAACCACCCTCACAATTCTATCAGCATTCAAAGCCTTTGTTAAATTACAGACTCAGAGACCATAGGTGCTAGAATAACAGTGATATTTGATAGATAATGGCTAGTCATACTGTAATATGAACAAAGCTGGGGAAGGATAACCGTTAATTGAAAATAGTTCATGCAAAAAGTCTCCGAATTTTACATCCCAGATGAGTTGATCTTCAAACCCACTTGCTTCTTCATTTACCTTTCATATTTCCTCCCCACTTTTATTGTCTTCTCCATCAAAACTTTCTCCAATTGAATGATAAGTCTAGCTGATCTTACCAGGTATACTATACAACATACTACTTACATATGTTCATACAAGTATTATACATCACAATAATACAACAGTATTTGTAGCGAGTTTTGAAGAGAGAATGCATGAACTGTTTGAATGTGTTCACCTAAAAACATATAGATTTGTGTACTCACTCAGCTATGATCTATCTTGAATGTATGGCGATTTACGATACTACTAAGACTTCTAGGTTGAAGTCGATGAGGAGGAATTTGAACCGAAAACTCATCGTGATATGTAGCCACTAGAACTTATACACTTTTATACAAAGTTGACTAAGTCAATGAATGATAATCCAACGATGAAAATAGTGATAAAATCAAGATTATGCTTTGACTATCTGAGATAATCGTAGTTTGGCAGACTAGTATTTGTACTGGGTGATGATTGAAGGTGAGATGAAAATGTGGACCGTGGACGGGTTCGAACCAGCGACCACCGGGTTACCGACCCAGTGCTCTACAAACTGGGCTATGAGGTCTAACTCCTCACCAGAATTTTATTTCACTTCAATCACCAAGAATTTTGCCGGAATACTATGTGAATTTGTGACGCGTTACTACCGCTTGATCGTATTCACACTGGCTGCCTAGTCAGGACGTCTCATTCCAATCCCAATCTAATTGGTGGTCGGTGGTCGCTGGTTCGAACCGGCCACGGTCCAAATTTCATCTCACCTTCAATCATCACCAAGTACAAATACTAGTCTGTCAAACAAAGGCTATATCAAATAGTCAAATCATAATCAATATGATGCTCCCCTGCCCCTCTACTTCAGTTAGATTTGGATTGGGATGAGAAGTCCTGACTAAGCAGCCAGTGTGAATACGATCAAGCGGTAGTAACGCGTCACGAACTCACATAGTAGTCGGGCAAAATTCTTAGTGATTGAAGTGAAATAAAATTCTGGTGAGGAGTTAGACCTCATAGCTCAGTTTGTAGAGCACTGGGCCGGTAACCCGGTGGTCGCTGGTTCGAACCCGTCCACGGTCCACATTTTCATCTCACCTTCAATCATTACTCAGTACAAAATCAACATTATTAAGCGTTAAATGTTTCAATATGTATTAATTAAATTCTTTTAAATTCAATTTCATCAAAAATACACGAATTAACTCACCTTTCCCTGGGATATAATTGAAACTGATATCTTGTAACTCATTATTCTGTTTTGGATTCCGTTTACGAAGTGTTATTCGATAGCATAAACCAATAGACTAGAAATTGAGAAAAATAACAAAATGTATGTAAACTAACAAATTGGGGAAATTTTAATGAAGATAACGGATAAAACTATTTAGTAGTTAGCATTGGAATCTAAGATACATGTTTCGACCATTTTTTAACACTTCTCAGCTGACTGTAATGGACATTTTAACAATAGGCGGTATACAAAACGATCATCATCATCATCATCATCATCATGGTTTCTATGATCTGATACTGTCAGTCAATGTCAACTTTGAAAATAGAATTTAAAAAGGAAGGTGGAAAGTGGATAGATCATTATTTCTAACTATTGAGATAAAATGCAGGAACCACATAATAAAAAAAGTGATATTAGGAGATTGAATAACCAGAGTCGAATAAATTTGAAGACCAAGAACCTTTCTGAACATTATACAAGATTCTATTTTTACTCTGTTTATTAGAAATGTCGCAGCGCAGTGAAAGAATAGTATTACTGACTGCATAACAACGTTTCGTATACAATTTTATTGTTCATATTCATATCAAGTAACTCCATAACTTCGAGAAAGAATTTACATTGTCCTAATTTTCGCTCCTTCTCTTTGATGACAAGGGTAGTAGAATTTTCCATATAGGATCCTATCGATGCAATTAAGCAAAATAATCTGGTTTACCAGATCCCTCGCATTGATTGCGAGGTCAAATACACAGGTTAGTCAAAGAGGTCGATCGGGTAGATTAGAATAACAGAGCACAAAAACTTAGCTAAATCAAGATTAGTAGATCCTACATAAGATAAGAAATCTACAGAAAAAATCGGCTACAGCTCTGCATGCAATGACACACAATCACATAGTAGAGTGGGATAGGGAGATAGTGTTGAAAACTAACGTAGTTGAGTAGAGAGATTTAGAGATTGATAGGTGAATTTTTGTTTATCGAATCAACACCAAATACATTCAGCAATCGAAATGATTTCGCAAATGTCCCAGATATATGGAAAATTCCACTACCCTTGTCATCACGGAGAAGGAGAGGAAATTAGGACAACACAAACTATGTCTCGAAGTTGTGAAGTTATCTGATACGAAATACGGACAACAAATTCTGTCCGAAACGCCGTTATCCAGTGAATGATACCGTTCCCTCACTGTGTGACATTTCTAATAAACAGAATAGTATGGGAATACAATCCACCAACATGCCCAAGTTCTACTCCTATAATATACAAGATTAATAAAAGAGTAAAACTTCGGTACTATCTTAGAATGTGACTCCATTTGAATTGATTTATTGGATATATCACACACTGAAGGAACAGTATCACTTACTCGATTACGTTTCGGTTATAAATAGTAGTTATTTCCCATGTATCTGGAACAAGTGCAGAGTCATGTGCATTCGATAATTGATTCGATAAACACAGATTCAGTTATCAATCTCTCCCTCCACCCCATTAGATTACTTTTAACGAGTATCACACTCTCTCTGTCATTCTATTATATGATTGTGTGTAACTGCATGCATAACTATGGCTGAGCTTTTCTACCAGATTCCTTATCTACCAATTTTGGTGTGGCCAAGTGCTTGTGCTCGCATAGCCTAATTGACCGTGGACGACTACTTTGAAATGAGTATTTTACATCTTAATCGTTTCAGGGGATTCGATAAATAAGCTTATTTTGCCTAATAGAATCAAGACGATCTGTTGACCTGCACAGCTTGTTGATCAGTGAGTTTGCAGGTTTACTATCAACACCTGGATTCCTAATACTAGTCCCTAAAGTATCTGGTTTCCTGTCCTAGATATTCTAATTTACCGATAACTTTTCTGGCCCTGTTACTTAGGAATTTCACCAACACAACATTGACTGACATTCGGTGAGAGGATCTGAAGTCTAAGAACGGATAGTAATGTGAAGATTTTCTGTAGACAGGAGTGTTTGAATTCCCATTTTGTTTAAGATAGTTCACTACTTCCCATTCATCAAACAAATCCAAGAGGAGTGAATGACTCAGCACCTGTTTCCGATGTATCGAAAATCTACCCCTACCCCTATATCACAAAGTAGACAAGAGAGATTTAGCACCAATATAAACCATATCTCAAAGTTGTACGCTTTATTGTCTTCGTATGACTGTGCACGACCTAAATGGTGTCCAAAATGTAATCCAGTAAACGATACATCTATTTCTTCACTCTCTGATACACACCACTAATAAATCAATTAAAACATGAAATTATCTATACAACAAAATAATATTCAAATGAAGTTGTAAAAGTGTCGTTCACTGTTAAGAGGGAAATATTTCCCAACACTGGAGAGTTCCAGATTTAAAGTCAACCTCACTCACCACCACCACCACCAACCTTTCAACCAAATGCATCAACCACACATTACAAATATGCACACAGGAAGCTCTATGAATAGTTTACAATTAGTATTTAACTGTAGAATATATTTCTATTCTGCAATAGGCTTTTATAAAAACTGTTGTCTTCGATACACAGGGCATGGTTTGAAGGATAAGAGATTAGTGAATCCAGATAGACTGTCGACAGACTCCATATACTCTGAATTGCATGAATCAAGGGTTTTCAAGTAATCGAAATGATTTGTAGCTCAGCTCGGAATGAGGATTGTAGTGGTTTGAAAGGGTTCTCTGAACTGTGGTATTTCACCATGTCAGAAGCTGAATGATATTCTGTGCAAAACTATTTCTAATGTTACTTAGATAAACAGTCCACCGTCTCTATCTCACTATATCTTATTTCAATTAAAGTGTAAACAAGGAGGAGAAGAAGATAAGAAGTGGAGAGTAACAAGATATTTGGCTTCATGAGATACGGTACAAAGAAACTTCCATTAGGAATTAACGAATCGATGAGGGTACTGCTAGAGTTCAGGGATCGGATCTAAAATCACTCAACACAACCTTATGCACAATTGTGAAGTAGGCGACAATGAGTCATACATACACATACACACACACCTATGGTCTGTGATTGCTAATGCTGATATATTAGCTGGTTACCGAATTCTCGTTAGGTGGAGCAGTGATCAAACTGGTCACCAATTGGTTGAAAGTCAACTCCATAAATCAATTAGTCATAACTCCATTTTAAGGTTCTCCGACCACTGATGGATTGTTTCACAGAGAACTAAAACGAAACAACTGTTCCATCCGTGCCTTTCCCAAGATTTTATCAACTCTCTGAATCATGTCGATTCGAGATGTAAAGCAGCCTGAAACAAATAATGAAACGGCACACAACCATCCTCCCTCTTCATTTGTATTCAAATAACATGATCACCTGGTTGTTTTACAACAGCTAATCTTCAACAGATACACACAATCCCTTGTCATTCTCGTAGGAATACTTTACACTCTCTCATATCATAGTACACATTTTAACTATTTACGAAAACTGGTCGTCAGTTGGAATGATCAAGTGGAATTTGAGTCACCTGTATTGTATGCTGTTGTACACTACAACGATATCGTCAGCATATTCATAATTGGTAACAAATCTACACTGACATTTCAGGAATGTCATTGATGGTGTAGTTGAAGAGAGGACTGACAGTTCTTAGCTTGATGGTTCTTTCGGAACAATGAAAGTATTTATATGGCTTAAGTGTACATTTGATGTACCTTTTCATGTGGTTTATTTGGTCACTTTTATGGTAGGTGGCTACTATAAGAGTATTCCAAAAGTGTTAGGCATCCGAAAAATTGAATAGAAATGCATATGAGGGTAACTAATTGCACGTTTTGTGTAGTGTAAGGAAGAGGGAGAGAGTTCATTGTACTCCTTGGTTGCTGATATGCCCTGTTGGATAAAACAGAGTTGGAACTCGCAGTGTGTGTGTTGGAAGTTAATTGTCTAAGTCAATAGGCTAGAATTCAAATTAGTAGTAGTGATACTAGAATTTACGGAAGGTACTATTAGTGAACATCTGGAGTAGTTAGTAAATCAACCAGGTTGATTTGTACTACTTCGGTAGCCAGATAGATGACAGTGATCTAAACACTGGACGGCTGTTTGTTCGTTTACAGCCGAGCTCACAAGCGGTGTACCCGGAAAAATTTAGATCACACTTTGTGATCTCAGCTGATTAGTTTTCAGCGAAAACCTTGCTGACATGACAGCTGGGTAGTTGAGAAACTACTACTACTCAGCTATGAGGAATGTAAACCTAGATGATGCCGATTTGTAAATCACTTGTAAATTGATCATTCAATAGTAGAATTTACAAGCTTTTAAGAAACACATGAGTTATATAGGATAAACAAGGTTATTTTGTCTTGAAGTGCTTCTTATGTGCCAGAATTTTAACTCATCATAGATATCGATTTATCCCATTCAATTACATCATAATTGTGTATGATTGGACAGTAAACACATGATTGAAGTTCAGTTATCAATACCATAACTACACACTACGACCTAATTTAGTCATTTACAGATACGTGATAAACTCTTGTATGGTGCAGTATTATAGTGACCTACTCTCTTTCTCTCAATGACCAGGAAGTTGTGAATATATATATATATATATATATATATATATATATATATATATACATTGTCTATTGAGTATGTTGGAAAATAACTATGAAGCGCCGAAAGTGAGAAGGAACTGGTCTTGATACTGCTGTGCTTTTCAAGTTGGATGGTCTGATCGTAAAACTTTCATGTCATTCAAGACAAAAACAGCAACATCAGCACAAATTTCAGAAAAAAGTGGGCTATGAGGTTTTTTCCACAAGCTAATAAGTCATTTCTTTTTTAAGTTTGTGTTGATGATGTAGTTATGTAGAATGACAACGAAAGCTTCATCATTGAACCGTCCAACTCAAAGAAGACAACACTATCAGGATTCTCCTTCTCTTCGTCTTGAACTGCAAATATTCTCCATCATCACAGAAAGAAGTAACTTTGAAATAAGGTAAGAATGAACTGATTTCATTTCATTGGTTCACAGTTGATGCATACGACTACCTATGTAATATCTGTCAG